ATTTTTTATATAATAATGACATTAATAAAATTAATATTTAATATTTTATTAAGAAATTAACACTTTTTTTTTAACTTTGCAGGCAAATTTGCCTGCTTTACAGTCTAAGGAATAAATTATGATAGTTCTAAAATTTGAAATAAAATGAACTGATTCAATTAAAGTATGATTATCATTTATAACCCTTGCTTAATTATTCAAATATAATACATAATATCAAAGAATCTAAAAAATCCAATAAATATTTTTTTAAACTAATTAAAAAAGGATTTATTAAACTATTTTGCTTCTTTATAGAATATCAAATTAATAATATGTTTATTTAATACTTTATTCTTTATTTTGTATTTGATTAGATTAATATTTAATGATTTGGGTATGCTATATTCCTGATCTTTAAGTTTTTTTAATATTATATCTACATGTATTATATACTTAATAAATTTTTGCTTAATACTTTTAGCAATATCCTTTCTAATCCATTTAACATTATTCTTTTTGAAGATAATTAACAAAATCTAATTTTAAATGTTTTTTTTCATTTCCAATTTTTATTATAATAGGCAAATAATATATATCAATTTGTTTCTTAGTTTATTGGATTCTTCTTATAAAAATATAGTAAAATTTTCATGTTTCTAAGATTAAAATATTTTGATTTAAATAATTAGTTTATTTTTATAATAATTTATTACTTATTTATTCTTAAAATTTATTAACTAATAACAATTTTTTTTTTGGGATTTGCTTAGAAAATATTATAAAATTTATTATAAAACTTACAATACTATTAATTTTTTAATAAATAATTTAAAAATGATTTTAATTAAAATATAAAATTGCTTTTAAAAACCATTAAAGGGATGACAACAATAATACCTTTCGATAGCTTCCTGAAGTAATATCTTTACTAGTTCGAATTTAACCTCAGTGGAGATACTACTTATACTAGGACATCTCAATGATTTTACTTTACAAATAACTAATAGATGCATGCATACTATTATGTAATCCTTTATTTAAAACTTAAATTCATCCTAATTATTTATAAGCAAAATAGCAACTAGTATCTGAATTAATACGATTGGATTTAGTTAAAAATAAATAATAAATAACAAAATACAGTTAAAAAGTTGTAAAAATATAACTAATAAATAAATGAGCGAAATGGAATGTGGAAAATAATTTTTAAGCAATTTGTTCATTACCTTTTCTTTCAATTCACCAGTATATTGTTACTTTGTTTGCCCTCCCTTTTATCAAATGATTCTTTTAAATCTTCCATCTTCCGCAATTCTTTAAACTTCAAGTTCTTCGCCATAAACTTCTCCGACCTCTTATCCTATCTTTGCGTCATTTTAATTTTTTCATTTTATAAAAAAAGGGTGAAAAAATAAAAATTTTTATCGTAATTTCGGCCAATTATAGAATTTATCCTATCACCAAATCCTTGAAAAGAAAGATCCAATGCAAAAATATTTTACAAATAAGGGCACGTGATAAAATAACGTTCGATATTATTAACCGCGCTTTTTTCTCACTTTTCCGACTAATTTTCCAGGTTCTTTTTCAAAATCTTTTATAAGACGTGATTTTAAATATTTTAAATTTGAATATTTATTATAAACTTTATTACTATACCTAAAAGAATGTATACAAGATCGCGAAATTTTACTTCAATAAATTCCTTTCCCTCTTCGTCTTACGATTCACCCATAACCTCTACAGAGAATCGTCCAAAGGTTATGCTATCTTCCGCGCTTAATGATTCAGCACATTTCAGCAATTCTTCAACTCCGCCTTCGAGTAATCATCAAAGATTTAAAGATCTTTTAATATTTGAGGAAAGACTTAAACAAAATTTACATCAATTACAGAGAAGAAGTTACAAATATGAAGGTGACAATGAGTTATTGTTAAAATAATTAATATAGTTAATAATAAATGTATTGATTCATTTATTTATTTATTTATTTATTTATATTTTTATATTATTTAAGCATTTTTAGGATTAATTTGTCTGTCACTTCCGATCTTAATTTATGCAGTTTTTGTCTATGAAATCAAAGTAAGTTTTGTCATTATTGAGAGAATAGGAGGTCAAAATCTTATAAATATAATTTTATGTTAATTTAAACAATCTTGGAATATTTTAGCATCCAACTTTTCAATTTTTCTGTAAATTATTGCTCTTTATTGCTGTGACTATTTTGGTAATGTTTTTTATGAAAAATATTTATGCAGAAAAGGTCAGAGTGGCTTCAAGGTACTTTTATAATTACTTTTTGAGTACTCTAATTTATTATCATTTATAGTAAAATATTATCAATCCACCCTCAAAAAAAAAAAAAAAAAAAATTTCCACATATTAGATTTGTTCCACAATGCAATCGCGTATTAAGACAATTTAACATGCATTTTAATGCAAGTGGAGGTGAAATCGTTTTTCACAAAAAGGTGCCAAGGAAGTTTCAGGAAGGATTTGAAAGATATCGTCAAATGTATTATACAAAGAAGAATCAAAGGGCAAAAGAAAGGGAAGGGAAAGAGAAAGAAAAAGGGAATGTATATGGAAAAGACAAGGACATATGAAAGGAGGTAATGCGAAATTATTAAAAAAAAATAATAATAATAATAAATAAATGAGAATTGATGAGAATTGATGATGGTAGACTTAAATGGAAATAAAATTTTTGTCGTCACAAAAAAATATAAATGATTGCACCATATGTAACAAATAACCCCCCTCATTTATTTTGAACATCCCAAGTGAGATTTCAATACGGAATTGAATTACGAAACACATATTAATCAAAGTACATAAATGGAACATTAAATTGAAAAACAGCCATAAATTATTCATTGAAGGCCGAGTCAACATCTTGAGTTCGTTTAGTTTCATTGCGCCTTTGTTGGTCTTTTTGGTCTGACAATAAAAATGAATCACAAAAAATTTTAATATTTTTTAGGAGTGATTATAGCAAAACAATGAAAGTATTCTTTTACCTCTAGCATTCCGAAGAACTTGATTGTCTGCTTGACGTTGTTCAGGTGATCTAATAGTACGCACACCCAGAGCTCCGTGAACAAGACGCTTAGCGACCATATCAGTAGTAGCAGGACGCGCTCGAGGTTGAGCGTTATTGGGATCTTTTTAAATATATATAAATATAATCAATTAGTTTTTTCCTTTTTATAAAAAAAAGGAAACTGTCAAAAATAAACCGTATAAACTTACTTTTTTGAAGAAAATCTGTGGGGCCGTCGTACGGTTTGATTGTAGCTAATTGATTGGTAACATTATCCAGATATGCTTTCCGAGCTAAAAAAATAAATAAATTTATAAATTAATATATAAAATTAAAGATTCGTACAAATATTATCATAAAAATATTTTTTACCTGTAACTGGATGTTCAAAGATGATTAAAGCACGAGTATCATCCATCCACTTGATGCGATAACCTCCACGCATACTTTCATATTCTTGAAAAATTTCGTGGAGATGATGAGTCTTGAATGAAGCGGGAAAATCAAAGATATCAAGAATCCGAGTTGACCCCTCAAACGCATCTATTATAGAGTAACATACAGTTAATTATATGACCAATAATTGTATTATAAATTCAAGTATATTCTTTACCTGGATCAAAATTGAATTCAATTTTACTACTCTTGCTTTTCTTATGCCCCTTTTTAAAGGCTCCTCTATTTTCATTTTTGGGAGTAACTTCGCCCCTCTGACTTTCCTTTTGTTTATTAGCTGACCAATCAAATGGATTCGTATTTCCATCTACAGGACTAGTGACAGGACTAGTGACAGGACTAGTGACAGCATCGTTAATCTTTACCTCGCCATCTGCAGACTTTTCCCACTCCTCAACCTCCTGTTGTCCCTGAGAGGTTGTCGACAATGCGTCGTTATTAGTAGTAGTGGTTTGAACGGTGGGCTTGGATTCATTTTCATTATCACCAATATTAATATTGTCTAATGAAGCAGTAACTTTGGAGAGGTCATCAGAAACATTATTGTCGCTACCGGATCCACCACTTTCGGAACCTTGAACTCCGTTACTATTTCGTCTACTATCTGATTGTGACTTTCTTCTAGGACCTTGGTTTGATGCATACATGTATGCGTAATTAAAAATTAAATTTCGAAATTTTCGGAAATTTTTAGAACATTTAGGCCTACCGAAATATCAAAATTGAAATATTTCGTACTAGCCTTAAATCTTAGGCCATATGCGAAAATTTAGGCACGTGCTTGCGGTACATAATATTTGCGATACATTTATTTGCGATACTTATTACTCAACGTTAAGTGGTATCTATATTTAATTGCGGAATAAAGCAAATTACAAATTTTTTTTTTTTAAAAAAAAAAAAGATGATGGTATTCTATCTATCGTTTTATCTAACGGGGCAAAAATTTCTCAAATTCAATATTTAACATAAAAAAAGTATTTTATTTATAGTAAAAATGAAATATTCTGTAAAAAATTACATTGCTATTTATAAAGAAACCTTATTATTTTATAATTAGAACAAATTTACGGTTTGTGGTCAAATTTTTAATGATCGACACTTAACATTATTTATTACCAAGAAATATGTTGTTAATATTTTGCAAATTTTTAATATAATATTTAAAATAATATAACTTTAAATAAACGGAATTTTAATTTAAAGATATTATTAATAATAAATATTAAATACACATAAATCATTTAATTAATAATTCAATATTAAATTTTAACAGAAGTCACTAGCTACTTGGGTTAGGTTATGAAAGTAACTTTACGATCTATTGGTAACTTCATAACCTAATACATAATCTAATAGTAACTTCACAACCTAAATACATAATCTCATAGTAACTTTACAACCTAAACACATAATCTAATAATAATGTTATAACCTATTAGATGCTTTTCGGCATTCTAATTATTGTTTTAGTTAATTCCTAATATATTATAATAGTAACTTCATAATCTAATGATGATTGCAACTCTTTAATCTAATGGTAATTTCATGATCTAATAGTTTTTTTATCATTTTTAGCCTTTTTATTATTAAGGAATTTCTCATCTGTTTATGTGATTTTATAGCCTTTTTATTGTTAAGAAATAATCAATTTGTTTACCTGCTTCTAGACCTGTTTGGTGACATGTAAAAATGCTAAGAGTGCTTCCATTTGTGCCTTTTTTATAGCCTTCTAAGATACTGAGATAATGTAAAAAAAAGATAATAGATGGTACAGTAAATTTGAGATTAGTTCTATGGTATAATTTTGATTGAATTTTAAAGCACTCAGCATCATAGTAGTATCATGATAGTTTCTGAATACTAGTTATATTTTATTTTATGATTAAATATGAAGAGACATTATTTTCTGTTTATTTCTGTAAAAAGAAAAAATACTTTAGAATTGATCATAAAGAAGAAGTAAACTTTATACTAGATAAACTTTTACTATAGAGATTGATATTATGAAGCAAGATAATTTCAAGCTTTTTAATTTCATTAGAAAAAAAATTATAAGAAAGATGGTGGGATTTAATAATATATGCTTAATTCATAAAATTATCAAAGATATTCTTAAAGAAGCATAAAATAAAAATAAGATTTTGATCAGTTCATTACAATAGCTACCAAAATTTTTATGAAATAAATGAAAAAAAAAAATTTAAGATTCCTGATCCTAATGAATACTTTAGCTATATTGTAATGAATAATAACCACTGCTATACATGAAGTCGAAATGGATCATTTCGGATATCCGAAATGGTCGAAATGGTCGAAATCATTTTTTTTTTTTTGATACTTTTACTAGGCA